TTACTTTGTATCTCTCTATCTCCCGTCTGATCGATGTTTATAAACAATGTTACTTTGTATCTCTATCTCCCGTCTGATCGATGTTTATAAACAATGTTACTTTGTATCTCTCTATCTCCCGTCTGATCGATGTTTATAAACAATGTTACTTTGTATCTCTCTATCTCCCGTCTGATCGATGTTTATAAACAATGTTACTTTGTATCTCTCTATCTCCCGTCTGATCGATGTTTATAAACAATGTTACTTTGTATCTCTATCTCCCGTCTGATCGATGTTTATAAACAATGTTACTTTGTATCTCTCCATCTCCCGTCTGATCGATGTTTATAAACAATGTTACTTTGTATCTCTCCATCCCCCGTCTGATCGATGTTTATAAACAATGTTACTTTGTATCTCTCATCCCCCGTCTGATCGATGTTTATAAACAATGTTACTTTGTACTTTGTATGTTTATAAACAATGTTACTTTGTATCTCTATCTCCCGTCTGATCGATGTTTATAAACAATGTTACTTTGTATCTCTATCTCCCGTCTGATCGATGTTTATAAACAATGTTACTTTGTATCTCTCTATCTCCCGTCTGATCGATGTTTATAAACAATGTTACTTTGTATCTCTCCATCTCCCGTCTGATCGATGTTTATAAACAATGTTACTTTGTATCTCTCCATCCTCCCGTCTGATCGATGTTTATAAACAATGTTACTTTGTATCTCTCATCTCCCGTCTGATCGATGTTTATAAACAATGTTACTTTGTATCTCTCTATCTCCCGTCTGATCGATGTTTATAAACAATGTTACTTTGTATCTCTCTATCTCCCGTCTGATCGATGTTTATAAACAATGTTACTTTGTATCTCTATCTCCCGTCTGATCGATGTTTATAAACAATGTTACTTTGTATCTCTATCTCCCGTCTGATCGATGTTTATAAACAATGTTACTTTGTATCTCTCTATCTCCCCCTCGATCGATGTTTATAAACAATGTTACTTTGTATCTCTCCATCTCCCGTCTGATCGATGTTTATAAACAATGTTACTTTGTATCTCTATCTCCCGTCTGATCGATGTTTATAAACAATGTTACTTTGTATCTCTCCATCTCCCGTCTGATCGATGTTTATAAACAATGTTACTTTGTATCTCTCCCGTCTGATCTGATCGATGTTTATAAACAATGTTACTTTGTATATCTCTCTATCTCCCGTCTGATCGATGTTTTATAAACAATGTTACTTTGTATCTCTCTCTCTCCCGTCTGATCGATGTTTATAAACAATGTTACTTTGTATCTCTCCATCCCCGTCTGATCGATGTTTATAAACAATGTTACTTTGTATCTCTCTATCCCCCGTCTGATCGATGTTTATAAACAATGTTACTTTGTATCTCTCTATCTCCCGTCTGATCGATGTTTATATAAACAATGTTACTTTGTATCTCTCTATCTCCCGTCTGATCGATGTTTATAAACAATGTTACTTTGTATCTCTCTATCTCCCGTCTGATCGATGTTTATAAACAATGTTACTTTGTATCTCTCTATCTCCCGTCTGATCGATGTTTATAAACAATGTTACTTTGTATCTCTCCATCTCCCGTCTGATCGATGTTTATAAACAATGTTACTTTGTATCTCTATCTCCCGTCTGATCGATGTTTATAAACAATGTTACTTTGTATCTCTATCTCCCGTCTGATCGATGTTTATAAACAATGTTACTTTGTATCTCTCCATCTCCCGTCTGATCGATGTTTATAAACAATGTTACTTTGTATCTCTCCATCCCCCGTCTGATCGATGTTTATAAACAATGTTACTTTGTATCTCTCCATCCCCCGTCTGATCGATGTTTATAAACAATGTTACTTTGTATCTCTATCATCCCGTCTGATCGATGTTTATAAACAATGTTACTTTGTATCTCTATCTCCCGTCTGATCGATGTTTATAAACAATGTTACTTTGTATCTCTCTATCTCCCGTCTGATCGATGTTTATAAACAATGTTACTTTGTATCTCTCCATCTCCCGTCTGATCGATGTTTATAAACAATGTTACTTTGTATCTCTCCATCTCCCCGTCTGATCGATGTTTATAAACAATGTTACTTTGTATCTCTCTATCTCCCGTCTGATCGATGTTTATAAACAATGTTACTTTGTATCTCTCTATCTCCCGTCTGATCGATGTTTATAAACAATGTTACTTTGTATCTCTCTATCTCCCGTCTGATCGATGTTTATAAACAATGTTACTTTGTATCTCTATCTCCCTCCCGTCTGATCGATGTTTATAAACAATGTTACTTTGTATCTCTATCTCCCGTCGATCGATGTTTATAAACAATGTTACTTTGTATCTCTATCTCCCGTCTGATCGATGTTTATAAACAATGTTACTTTGTATCTCTATCTCCCGTCTGATCGATGTTTATAAACAATGTTACTTTGTATCTCTCTATCTCCCGTCTGATCGATGTTTATAAACAATGTTACTTTGTATCTCTCCATCTCCCCGTCTGATCGATGTTTATAAACAATGTTACTTTGTATCTCTCCATCCCCCGTCTGATCGATGTTTATAAACAATGTTACTTTGTATCTCTCTATCTCCCGTCTGATCGATGTTTATAAACAATGTTACTTTGTATCTCTCTATCTCCCGTCTGATCGATGTTTATAAACAATGTTACTTTGTATCTCTCTCTCTCCCGTCTGATCGATGTTTATAAACAATGTTACTTTGTATCTCTCTATCTCTCCCGTCTGATCGATGTTTATAAACAATGTTACTTTGTATCTCTCTATCTCCCGTCTGATCGATGTTTATAAACAATGTTACTTTGTATCTCTCTATCTCCCGTCTGATCGATGTTTATAAACAATGTTACTTTGTGTATCTCTATCTCCCGTCTGATCGATGTTTATAAACAATGTTACTTTGTATCTCTATCTCCCGTCTGATCGATGTTTATAAACAATGTTACTTTGTATCTCTATCTCCCGTCTGATCGATGTTTATAAACAATGTTACTTTGTATCTCTATCTCCCGTCTGATCGATGTTTATAAACAATGTTACTTTGTATCTCTCTATCTCCCATCTGATCGATGTTTATAAACAATGTTACTTTGTATCTCTCTATCTCTCATCTGATCGATGTTTATAAACAATGTTACTTTGTATCTCTCTATCTCTCATCTGATCGATGTTTATAAACAATGTTACTTTGTATCTCTCTATCTCTCATCTGATCGATGTTTATAAACAATGTTACTTTGTATCTCTATCTCCCGTCTGATCGATGTTTATAAACAATGTTACTTTGTATCTCTATCTCCCGTCTGATCGATGTTTATAAACAATGTTACTTTGTATCTCTATCTCCCGTCTGATCGATGTTTATAAACAATGTTACTTTGTATCTCTATCTCCCGTCTGATCGATGTTTATAAACAATGTTACTTTGTATCTCTATCTCCCGTCTGATCGATGTTTATAAACAATGTTACTTTGTATCTCTATCTCCCGTCTGATCGATGTTTATAAACAATGTTACTTTGTATCTCTATCTCCCGTCTGATCGATGTTTATAAACAATGTTACTTTGTATCTCTCTATCTCCCGTCTGATCGATGTTTATAAACAATGTTACTTTGTATCTCTCCATCCCCCGTCTGATCGATGTTTATAAACAATGTTACTTTGTATGGTAAAAAAAATCTGAAGAATATATTTAAAAAAATATATATTTTTAAAAATAAATAATTTTTAAATATATTCTTCAGATTAATTTTTAACATACAAAAAGGTCATTATAACATATATTTGTAAATGTGTTCCAAAAATGTAGATTTGTGTTTGTAAAAGACATGCAGTGAATTTGAAATGTATTTTTTAAATATTTTTCATATATTTTGTAATAAAAACGCATTTCAGCGCGCAGTGTATATATATGTATTGAAATATATTGAATACGACCAAAATTGTAGCATTTCAAATATATTTTTCTTCCATGTGGGTAGCCCCGCCTACTTCTGCCACCTCTGTCTCCAAGGGCGGAGATATGGGGGCAGGGCGGGGCGGGGCGGGGGAGGGGTCAGGGTTTCTGGAAGGTTCATATTGATGTCTGCATCCCATTTGTAGGAAACGAGAAATCCCATCAGTGGGGACACAAAAACCGAATGGGGGTAGGGCAGTGGCAGACTGACAACTCATGGGGCCCCCCGGGCAATAGGGGTTCATGGGGCCCCTGTGTCCTTGCCCACACCCAAAAAAGCCTATGAAAGGTACAAGGGGCATCTCATGGGGCCCCCTACTGACCCCGGGCCCTCGGGCAGTGCCTGAGTTCCCCAACCCCTGACAACGTTTTCATTGCGGTCCATGGTTTCAGGACAAAGTGACAACCCCCCCTTTTCCCCCTATAGGTGTCATAGGGCCAGGACGACGCCCATGTGACAGGGTGACAACACAGGAACCAAAATTCGGAAACATGGAAAGGGTGTTGTCACCCTATAACAGGAGGTGTTCAGAAAAAGTCCCTCTTGGAAAGATCACCAGGAGCCAAAGTTTAATCCGCTTATTATTTTCCCTCCATTTCCATTGCATCCCTTATTTTCGTTCCAATGATGTCATCACTGGGTCCCTGTGCTTCTCTAGGCAATGCAGGCAGATCATGGCTGGTGGGGGAGGGGCCGGCAGGGGGGCTGTACATAGCTTCCTGAAAACATCCCAGCCACCCCCCCCCCCCTCCGGCCTCAGCACTCCTCAGTCCTGATGCAAGCAGTGGGAGTAGTTTTGCAAAGATCAAAATGCCTTGATGGGCGGGGTCGGTCTGGAGGAGTGGGTGTTCCTAGGCATAGGTAACGCCCACATGGGATGCCGAGCCTCTGTGGGTGGGTGTGGGTTTTGTTCAGACGTGGAGTGATGTGCGGTGTCTGTGATGTCATTGCCGCGAGATCTCATTGGTGTGTCTGTTTGGCAGGCTCTTCGGAACCACAGGGAACTGCGCCGCCTGCAGCAAGCTCATCCCCGCCTTCGAAATGGTCATGCGGGCCAGAGACAACGTCTACCACCTGGACTGCTTCGCCTGTCAGCTCTGCAACCAGAGGTGAGACGCTCTGCAGAGCATCGCTCTGTCCGCTTACATCCCTACAGAGATATGCTGCAGATTATTCCTTCTAGAGATCTGCAGAGCATCGCTCCCGTCCTGACAGATCCATATAGAGATATGCTGCAGATTATTTCTTCTACAGATCTGCAGAGCATCGCTCCCATCTCCCGTCCTGACAGATCCATATTGATATATTCTGCAGATTATTCCTTCTAGAGATCTGCAGAGCATCGCTCCCATCTCCCGTCCTGACCGATCCATATAGATATATTCTGCAGATTATTCCTTCTAGAGATCTGCAGAACATCGCTCCCATCCCCCTGACCGATCCATATAGATATATGCTGCAGATTATTCCTTCTACAGATCTGCAGAGCATCGCTCCCATCTCCCGTCCTGACAGATCCATATAGATATATTCTGCAGATTATTCCTTCTAGAGATCTGCAGAGCATCGCTCCCATCTCCATCCTGACAGATCCATATAGATATATTCTGCAGATTATTCTTTCTAGAGATCTGCAGAACATCGCTCCCTCCCATCCTGACAGATCCATATAGATATATTCTGCAGATTATTCCGTCTACAGATCTGCAGAACATCGCTCCCATCTCCCGTCCTGACAGATCCATATTGATATATTCTGCAGATTATTCCTTCTACAGATCTGCAGAGCATCGCTCCCATCTCCCCTCCTGACAGATCCATATTGATATATTCTGCAGATTATTCCTTCTAGAGATCTGCAGAACATCGCTCCCTCCCATCCTGACAGATCCATATAGATATATTCTGCAGATTATTCCTTCTACAGATCTGCAGAACATCGCTCCCTCCATCCTGACAGATCCATATTGATATATTCTGCAGATTATTCCTTCTACAGATCTGCAGAACATCGCTCTCATCTCCCGTCCTGACAGATCCATATTGATATATTCTGCAGATTATTCCTTCTAGAGATCTGCAGAACATCGCTCCCATCTCCCATCCTGACAGATCCATATAGATATATTCTGCAGATTATTCCTTCTAGATATCTGCAGAGCATCGCTCCCATCTCCCGTCCTGACAGATCCATATTGATATATTCTGCAGATTATTCCTTCTAGAGATCTGCAGAGCATCGCTCCCATCTCCCCTCCTGACAGATCCATATAGATATATTCTGCAGATTATTCCGTCTACAGATCTGCAGAGCATCGCTCCCTCCCGTCCTGACAGATCCATATTGATATATTCTGCAGATTATTCCTTCTAGAGATCTGCAGAGCATCGCTCCCATCTCCCCTCCTGACAGATCCATATTGATATATTCTGCAGATTATTCCGTCTACAGATCTGCAGAGCATCGCTCCCTCCCCTCCTGACAGATCCATATTGATATATTCTGCAGATTATTCCTTCTACAGATCTGCAGAGCATCGCTCCCATCTCCCCTCCTGACAGATCCATATTGATATATTCTGCAGATTATTCCTTCTACAGATCTGCAGAGCATCGCTCCCATCTCCCCTCCTGACAGATCCATATTGATATATTCTGCAGATTATTCCTTCTAGAGATCTGCAGAGCATCGCTCCCATCTCCCCTCCTGACAGATCCATATTGATATATTCTGTAGATTATTCCTTCTAGATATCTGCAGAGCATCGCTCCCATCTCCCGTCCTGACAGATCCATATAGATATATTCTGCAGATTATTCCTTCTAGAGATCTGCAGAACATCGCTCCCTCCCATCCTGACAGATCCATATAGATATATTCTGCAGATTATTCCTTCTAGAGATCTGCAGAGCATCGCTCCCATCTCCCGTCCTGACAGATCCATATAGATATATTCTGCAGATTATTCCTTCTACAGATCTGCAGAGCATCGCTCCCATCTCCCGTCCTGACAGATCCATATTGATATATTCTGCAGATTATTCCTTCTAGAGATCTGCAGAACATCACTCCCATCTCCCGTCCTGACAGATCCATATTGATATATTCTGCAGATTATTCCTTCTAGAGATCTGCAGAACATCGCTCCCATCTCCTGTCCTGACAGATCCATATAGATATATTCTGCAGATTATTCCTTCTACAGATCTGCAGAGCATCGCTCCCATCTCCCGTCCTGACAGATCCATATAGATATATGCTGCAGATTATCCCGCCACTGACCTCTCTAGAGATCTGCAGAACATCGCTCCCATCTCCCCTCCTGACCGATCCATATTGATATATTCTGCAGATTATCCCGCCACTGACCTCTCTAGAGATCTGCAGAACATCGCTCCATCCCCTCCTGACAGATCCATTTCTTTGGGAGTAGTTTTCTTTTTTTGTGTGTTCTTCGTATTATGTTTTTTTTTTAAGCTTTCTGTGACCGTTATTTATTTTCTGTCCCCTTTCAAATTTTATTTGTGTTTTGTTTTATTTCTATAAAGGAAAAAAAAATGAAAACGCAAATAAAATTTGAAAGGGGACAGAAAATAAATAACGGTCACAGAAAGCTTAAAAAAAAAACATAATACGAAGAAAACACAAAAAAATAAACTACCCCCAAAAAAAATCTAAATAAGGGGAAAAATTGTTTTTTGGGGGTTTTTTTGTTTTTGTTTTTTGGGGGTTTCTTTTTTGTTTTTTTTGTTTGTTTTTTTTTACTCACATCTTGTAAAATTGAGAATTTCTGCATTCGGTGACATGGTTGGGGGTGACTCGTCCTGACAAAATCTCTCCTCATTTTCCCTATTATTTTCATTGGTTTTTTTCCTAAATAAAATAAAAAATAAAAATTGAAAGGGGACAGAACATAAATACCGGCCACAAAAAGGATAAAAAAAAAACAGAAAATGAAGAACACAAAAAAAAAGAAAAACTACCCTCCCAAAAAATCTAAATAAGGGGAAAAATTGTCTTTTGGGGTTTTTTTTTGTTTTTGTTTTTTGGGGGTTTTTTTTGTTTTTTTGTTTGTTTTTTTTTACTCACATCTTGTAAAATTGAGAATTTCTGCGTTCGGTGACATGGTTGGGGGTGACTCGTCCTGACAAAATCTCTCCTCATTTTCCCTATTATTTTCATTAGTTTCATTGGTAAAAAAAAAACCCATAATACGAAGAACACACAAATAAAAAAAAAAACTACCCCCCCAAAAAAATCTAAATAAGGGGAAAAATTGTTTTTTGGGGATTTTTTTTTTTTTTTTTTTTTGGGGGGGTTTTTTTTTTACTCAAATCTTGTAAAATTTCTGCTTTTGTGGCATAATCTGTAAAATCGGTTATGCTGGAATCATCCCTAGTCAGGAACAAAATATGTTTTGTCCTGTATGTCACACTTACCATCTCTGCTTTGAATTTCTAGTCTTTAGCACAAAAAAAATCTAAATAAGGTAAAAAATTGTTTTTTGGGGATTTTTTTGTTTTCGTTTTTTTTTTGGGGGGGTTGTTTTTTTTTTTTTTTACTCTCATCTTGTAAAATTGAGAATTTCTGCTTTCAGTGACATGGTTGGGGGTGACTTGTCCTTGTGACAAAAACTCTCCTCATTATCCCTATTATTTATTTATTTATTTATTTTATAGAAATAAAACAAAACGCAAATAAAAATTGAAAGGGGACAGAAAATAAATACCGGTCACAGAAAGCTTAAAAAAAAAACATAATACGAAGAAAACACAAAAAAATAAACTACCCCCCAAAAAAATCTAAATAAGGGGAAAAATTGTTTTTTTGGGGTTTTTTTTGTTTTTGTTTTTTGGGGGGTTTTTTTTGTTTTTTTGTTTGTTTTTTTTTTTACTCACATCTTGTAAAATTGAGAATTTCTGCGTTCGGTGAGATGGTTGGGGGTGACTCGTCCTGACAAAATCTCTCCTCGTTTTCCCTATTATTTTCATTGGTTTTTTTCCTAAATAAAATAAAAAATAAAAATTGAAAGAGGACAGAACATAAATACCGGCCACAAAAAGGTTAAAAAAAAAAAAAACCCATAATACGAAGAACACACAAATAAAAAAAAAAAAACTACCCCCCAGAAAAAAATCTAAATAAGGGGAAAAATTGTTTTTTGGGGGTTTTTTTTTGTTTTTTGGGGGTTTTTTTTTTTGTTTTTTTGTTTGTTTTTTTTACTCACATCTTGTAAAATTGAGAATTTCTGCGTTCGGTGACATGGTTGGGGGTGACTCGTCCTGACAAAATCTCTCCTCGTTTTCCCTATTATTTTCATTGGTTTTTTTCCTAAATAAAATAAAAAATAAAAATTGAAAGGGGACAGAACATAAATACCGGCCACAAAAAGGTTAAAAAAAAAAAAACCCATAATACGAAGAACACACAAATAAAAAAAAAAAACTACCCCCAAAAAAAATCTAAATAAGGGGAAAAATAGTTTTTTGGGGATTTTTTTGTTTTTGTTTTTTGGGGGTTTTTTTTTACTCAAATCTTGTAAAATTTCTGCTTTTGTGGCATAATCTGTAAAATCGGTTATGCTGGAATCATCCCTAGTCAGGAACAAAATATGTTTGTCCTGTATGTCACACTTACCATCTCTGCTTGGAATTTTCTAGTCTTTAGCACAAAAAAATCTAAATAAGGTAAAAAATTGTTTTTTGGGGGTTTTTTTTGTTTTTGTTTTTTGGGGTTTTTTTTTTGTTTTTTTTGTTTTTTTTTTTACTCACATCTTGTAAAATTGAGAATTTCTGCGTTCGGTGACATGGTTGGGGGTGACTCGTCCTGACAAAATCTCTCCTCATTTTCCCTATTATTTTCATTGGTTTTTTTCCTAAATAAAATAAAAAATAAAAATTGAAAGGGGACAGAACATAAATACCGGCCACAAAAAGGTTAAAAAAAAAAAAACCATAATACGAAGAACACACAAATAAAAAAAAAAAACTACCCCCCAGAAAAAATCTAAATAAGGGGAAAAATTTGTTTTTTGGGGTTTTTTTTTTTTTTTTTGGGGGGTTTTTTTTTGTTTTTTTGTTTGTTTTTTTTACTCACATCTTGTAAAAT